CTGTTAAGAGAGAAAAGTGATAATGATCATGATTTTCATTGGTATAATTTATTGCTAATATATCACTTTTTTTTGGTAAATTAATGACATAAACAACTTTTAATATGAAACTGGAAACCCTAAAGTAAAAGTAAGTTACCCTTTCCTGAAAAATGTTAGAATAATAGAGTTTTTCATAGGTGATAGGAAAGTGATAATATGTGACACTTTAATTTTTTTAAATTCTTAAAAGTAGGCATTTTATTGAAGAGCTAAGACAGAAAACACTAACCATTATACTTCTAAATCCTCTCATATATCCAAGCTCTATCATATCCTTTCTCACTCTTCATTATAAATACACCAGCTGTTCTCATCTTCTGTAGTTCATGGTCATCAGGAAATGATGAGGACAAAATCTTCTGCCAAATGAACTACAACCTCCTAATAAAAATCCACCTAACTATGAAAACCATCATAGAAATGTCTAACACACAGTTTTATCCTTTTATCTACTCACTTGCTATCTTTGCTATAGAAATATTTCTTTAAGAAATTGATATTTTAATGATGGTAATATACAGTAGGATAAGAAGCCTCATAAAATTAATAATACCACCTTGACTTGCCCTTAAATAAGATGCTCCCCCCTCTGGGTTACCTACTTTTTTACATTCTATTGCACTTAAGTGAAACTTTAAGGACCAACCTTGAAAGGGAGAAGATACATATATGCTCAAACATGAGGCAGATATTTTTTCTTCCCCCTAGAATATTTCTCAAGAAAGAGTGAGTCACCTCATAGTCAAATCCTTATCTAAATCTCTGTATTACTTTATTATGTAAAACAGAGATTTGTTTGGAGAAAACACATTAGGCTAAAAAAACCCTCCATCATTACTAGCTTTAAATGTCGATAGAAATAATCTACAAAATCTGTTTTTTAAACAACAATTCCAAACAGAAGTAATACCTATTTTGTAAAATTGCAAATGATGGATATGATTTGCAAAAACCTATTAAGATAACTGTAAAGAACACTACTGTGGATGCTGCATGCTGGAGATCAAAAGTACTCACCTAGAGGGAAAAATTGTTAAGCACCCCCCTATTTTGTTCCGTTATTATGTGTATGTAATTTGGCATACAGTTTACAGTGACTGAATCATATTTGAATCACAAAAAGCACTAAGTCTTGCCTGGCCGGTGTGGCTCAGTAGTTGAGCATTGACCTATGAACCAGGAGGTCATGGTTCGAGTCCCAGTCAAGGCATATGCCCAGGTTGCGGGCTCCATCCCCAGTGTGAGGCGTGCAGGAGGCAACTGACCAGGGACTCTCTCTCATCATTGATGTTTCTATCTCTCTCTCTCCCTCTCTCTTCCTCTCTGAAATCAATAAAAAATTTTAAAAATTTTTGAAAAGCACTGAGTCTCAAAAAAGTTTAGGCAGAAGTGAAATGTGCTGCAACACTGGGTGAGATGACTCAAAAAACAGGGATGAGTTTGTCTTTACTTTGATGGAAGATGCTCGTGACCGATCACATGTGAAGAATTATAATAATTAATTAATGAACTGTAAGGGTGGGGGAAAGTAACGTTTCTAAATTAATATTTTACGTAATATGTGATTTTAAAATATATGAGGAGATAAATTGATACATAAAAAATGTAAGCAGACATCTGACCATTTCATCTGCATGTCTAGAGGTTTTATATATTCAAAACTTTTCATTGGGAAAATAGATAATACTGATACCTCGGGTTCACATTATATTCAGACATATTCAGCATTTTTTTCTGCTTTTAAAAAAAACACACTGAATGATTGCCTAACTTTCCTATGAACCCCAAATAAGTCAAAAGTTCACCTCAAATTTCTGTAAGTGTTCAATTTTTAACTTAATCCTTTCAATGTAATTCATTTAGTTTGCATTCACCTTTTCCTCATAAGGTCAAGGTGAACAAATTATTTTAATCTTATCCTCTTAAAGGAAAATCCTTTTCAATCACTGTATTAATTAAACTGTAAGGCATACAGTCTTAAAATCAAACCAAGCAAATAGTTAAGAGTCTTCGAGTAAGGTAATCTAACACAGTGTCTGTAAAACAAAAATCACTCTTATGATTTCCTTACTGAAATGAGAAGTGGAGGCCATAGGCCCTTCCAGAGTCAAGTTGTACTTTAGAGGCGGAAATACTTGGCCTCAGTAGACATCTTATTCACCTTTATTTGTTTGTTTGCTTTTTAATTCAGCCGAAGTAAAAACAAATTCAAATATTAAATTATGTTTTCAGGTACTTAAGCAAACATTTTATCCATTTATTTTTCTACTTAAAAAAAAACAGACCCATTCTCTCATAGCACGCATTCTTTGACCAAATGCTAATTTTCCAAAATTTCAGTTTTCAATGACTTAATTACATTTGAGTGAGTTACTTTCTTGAGATATATTTAAATGACATCATCAATTAAAAAAAACCATTCACAGATCTAGTCAGAGCATGCACACAATTAAGCATGAAATCAGAGTTCTATGTAGCCTGTATAAATTGGTAAAAAAAAAAAATCAGAATAATGTCAGCCCATATTCCTTTAAGATGATGCATAATGATTCTCACTTTCCTTAGGAGTTCGCAGATCCTTCTAAGTTCATATAGTTAACAGCAGTGACTGCAGAAGTATCCTTAGAAACATGTGGTACCACCATGAAGTACTAACTACCTAGTGGTGAACCATACGGAGCGAATTGCAAACACTTCCGGGCACAGAGCAGCCAGCAAAGCCAGCTGCAGAGGCACGAAGTGGAGCGTGGAGTGAGGGAAAGCCTTGGATGAATGCACGTGGTACATTTCAGATCTCTGTTGTTTCAGCCCCTCTCCTGCATCAGCCAGTTCTTGTCTTCCTCCTATTGTCATTCCTTCAGATTTTTTTTTTCAAGAAAATAAGAAATCTGGATTTTTACATGATCACTCCGAATTTTTTAAGTGTTGGCAACCAATTCCATTTACAAAATGTAATAAAAGCCAAATGAAATATTTCTGAGCCCAGCCAGTGTGGCTCAGTGGTTGAGTGTCAACCAATGCACCAAGAGGTCACAGTTTGATTCCAGGTTGCTGGCTTGATCCCCAGTCGGGGGCGCGCAGGAGTGATGTTTGTCTCATCATCCATGTTGCTCTCTCTTCCTCCTCCCTCTCCCTTCCTGTCTCCAAAAAATCAATAAAAAAAACATATATAAAAAAAAAACATTTCTGGAAACCAGATGCTGCCCATGGACTGCCAGCCTTAAATTTGTGCCTAGAAGACTCAAGACACACCCTATGTTGTTAAAGATAAAAGTATCCATCAACACTTGTCAAAGATGGTAATGCAGACCTTATCAGGACCACTGGGACAGACAGAGGGGACCCTACAACTGGGTTGCACAGAGCAGAGAGAGTTTGGGCTCAACTCCAAATACAGCAGGGGCCAGTGAGAATTCAGAGCCGAGGAGGATGGTGAGGATCAGTGGATGGAAAATGGCCAAGAGGCACTAGCAGCAGTAAGGAGGATTCTGGCTCAACCAACCTAACAAGATTCTTTGCTGAAGACAGGCCAGGTAATCAGACATCACCTGGCGGATCCTGGAGGATGAGATATGGAGGGTGATCAGATACCAAGGGGAGGGGATTCTGGGTAAACTGACTTAGCAGGGTTATTGTTAAAACTGGAATTTACAAGGAAGTGCAAGGATGGGCCTAGGAGAAGGTCAGGAGCCTGTCTACAGGTTGGCCAAGCAAAGAATCTTAGTCAATGTTTTTCAGTCCCTGGCAGCTCTACTAATAAAAGCCAAGTTCTTTACTCCTAAGAATGACGTGGGGGAAATCATCACCCCAACTTTACTAATGCCTAAAAATCCAATGCTCCAGGACCCCAAAGTCTTCTCAAGTTCACAGTTGATGTTCTAACCAAGAGCACCTTCTGACCACTAGCTATTAAATGCCCATGATTTGGGGCAATGGCAGGCTGTTCATACCTCGGAAGGCTTTACTCCTCCCAAGAGATTTATCCTCATTACAATTAGAAGATATTTGGTTCAAAAATATCATGTTACTTCAAGCAATTTTATAGTACATCCAGGAAGCCAAGTCTTTCTTTTAATTATTGCAAATCCTGATTATATATCTATATCTGTATCTATATCTATATCTATATCTATATCTATATCTATATCTGTATCTATATATCTCAATACTATATACGCACACACACACATAACTTGTCTTATATTCCTATCTGACACTTTTTGGTAATTTCTTTATTGCCATTTTGGGAAAATATCTTTTCATCTGTTGGGAAAGATGTATGATATGATGATTATAAGCAGAGACTCCTAAGCCAGGCTGCTGGGATTTAAATCTCAGTTCTACCACTTTGTAGATGTGTAACCTTGGGCAGGTTACCTAACTTCCCCGTGCTTAGTTTCCGATATATTTATTGTGGGCTAATAACCGTGCCTCTGATGAACGATTACTGTGTGGATTAAATGAGCTAATATTTGGTGACACTTAGAACAATACCTGGCACTCTGCAATGTTTACCATTACTATCACATTCATCTTGTCGTGTGTGTGTGTGTGTGTGTGTGTGTGTGTAGACAGAGATGAATGAATGCGCACTGTATATTTCAGTTGTTTCCGAAATACTCAAAATATGGTCCTTTAACCATTTATATCCATCTCCCCTGAAAAACTGTTAGAAACATAAATTCATGGGCCCAGAATCAGCATCTCTTAGTGTTCTATGTGCACTAAGAGTCCACATAAGATTTGT